AACGCTGAAATGACTTTGTAGAAGTATTCCATGAAATTTATATCACCTAAAGTAATTCAGATTTTGAAAGTTGAATGCCCACATCTCAGATGTTGGTGTTATGGGGAGCCGCTTCAGAAAATGCTCTAAGTCTGAATTCAAATCAAAGAGAGCTTTATTTACCTGGCCAGGAACTATCACCCACTGATAGAGACTGAAGCTCTGTGGGAGAACAGCAGCTTCCTGGCCTGTATCCTGGGAACTTAATGATGAAAACCACAACGCAGGGGCTTTACTTAGCATCATGCAAGGAAGCCAATCACAGAAGCTAGAAAAAAAGTGGTCAGCTTTGCAACTCAGTTAACCACATCTTGGGTCTGATCAGGTGTTAGACAATCATATCCTGAGTTTGAGCAGGTGGTTAGTGGGGATGAGAATCTATTTCAAAGTTTTGGGTCACCAAGATCACCATATACTGAGTTGAGTACATTTTGTGGGATACAAAGTACAGAAAACAATATATTGTAAGAAAACAGCTTTCATTTAAATCAGTTTCTCAGAAATAGCTCTTGCAACAGATTTTTAATAGAAGTCAGCAAAGTGGAGTCTTAGGCCTGTCTATGACAGTTCTTGCTTTATAATTATCTCACTTATCAAAATCTTATATCTATAATCTAGGTCTTTACTAATCTATAACTTATAACTTGTACTCTTATTGATGGTATTTATCAGTTCACACCACAAATTAGAAGGCGTTATACAAATTATTTTATCAAAATTCAGTTATAGTGTACTCTCTAATCATTTTATTTTGCTCATTGAAGAATAATTTCATAATTTGAATCTTTGAAAATTCACAGTAATTATTAACCATGGTTCTACTGTCTGTAAATGTTTATGGTGTCCCTTTAAAAGTCAGTTCTAGTACATTAGCAAGAATCCACTCTTAAGTGATCTTAAAATGTTTCCCAAATTCGAATATTATTATAACTTATTCATAACACATATAATAAAACTACTAGTGGAATTTGACTAACAAAATAAATAAAAAGGCAAATCAAGATAACAAAATCTCTTAAGAATTTAGATGGATTGGGTTAAAAATAAACATTAAAAATAACTATTGGTAGCAATAAAATGGACTCAGAAAAGCTAATTTATCACTGAAGTTTTTAATCTTTTCTATAAATATAAACTATTTGAAAAGAAAACAAACTCAAGGGCCTCATGTTTGATAAAAAGAAAAATAGATTAAATGAAACTCAAAGGAAAACCAAGGTCCTTCTGACCTTTGGGTTTTTCTGGATGTTCTCTTCATTCAGTGCTATGTTTGTAGGCAAAGGAGCATGGTTCAAAACCATCCACAGGCAACACTGCAATTGTATGGCAAAATTGCTATATGCTTAAGCTCCTGGTTTTGACATCATGAGTTCTGAAAATTCTATCAGCTGTTTGTTTTATCTGAACTGATTCTTCAAAGAAACTCATAGAACTAGAGAGAGGCTAATATCCTGTATTTTTCCAATGGCATAGCTAATTATACAAGAATACGTGACATATTCTTAAAAAACTATGTAACCCCATTCAGTACTCTGTTAGAAAAAAAAATCATTTATACAACCAATTGTCTAACTTCCTATGATGGTATTTTTTAAAGATGTTTATTTAAAATATTTTAAGGTAATACTAATTGTTGAAAAGGTACTTTCCATATTAAGCTCAAATTTGCTTTTAAATCCTGGCCAATTCTGGACTGCTTTTGCAGTGCCACACAGATTGGGTTTATGTTACAGCTTGTTTATTTGAGCTCAGTCTGCTAAACTCTTAGATTTCTGACTCTGTTATTCAGCTTTCAGGTATCCTGAAGGTTCCTATTTTCAGCAAATTGGATTTGTTTGCTTTTTATGATGTCAACCAAAGTGTTAAAAATATTGAAGTTGATGGGAAGAATCTTTTCTGGATGAAACCAGATATATTCCATTAAATTAACTTTATTTGTCATTAATGAGACCTTAGTTGTCTTGCACCAAGGTCCAAATCTATCTACCTCTGATGATGTGAACCCATATTTAAGTATCATGTCAAAAACCTTTGCCAAATGAGAGAGATTCTCATTTTATGGCATCCTCTTTACCAGTTTAGTTGTCTTTTAAAATCAAGTAAATCTGAAAGAACTTGTGAACACACAGATGGATTTTGTTGTCCCTCTTTTCCTAGTTAACATTAGATGGAGTGAAACTTTGGGTGAGTCCGAGGTGATGGTGGTGGCAGGTCCCATGATTGTGCCAAGCGTTACATGAGCAGCGTTTGCTGAATTCTGAGAAGCACGTGATCATCACCTTACAGGTCACCACTGGAGATGTTGTCTGCCTTTCTACCTAGACTTGGCTATACCAGGTCTTCCTGGAATTTGAACTCCTCCAGAGTTACAGTCATGGTCTCTACTTCTTCCTTTTTGTAACTTGTGTGAGCTGTCCAACATTAAAATTGTGACTCACATACCAAATTTTGCTTATGTCACAAGGTGAAGAGGAACATATTTTTTTCCTTCCATAGTCCTCATAATTTCTCGCCTCTCCCCTTTTAGAAATGAATGGTGGTTAAAAAAACCTGGTCCCTGGGTCATGTTACCTGTATCTGTATGCTGTGTCTACAGCTACTGAGTTGTTCTTACCAGTTTGCTTATGTTCCGTAACTGTCATTTTTCTCATATACCAAATTGGAGTATTAATATTGTAAAGGTTAGTTGTAATGATTAATTGAGGAATTGCATGTAAAACATTTAGAAGAATATAGTCAACTTATCGTTTAAATTGTTAATTGAGAAGAATGTGGGCCTTCTCAGTTTGGAAAAAAATCTGTTTACTTGAGGGCTATTGTTGTGTTGTGGCTAATTAAGGTTACTCTGTACATACATTATTAAAATTACTTCTAGTCTTAGATAGTTGAGCTTTTCAGAGAATTGGAAAACTAGTGAAAAATGTTGGGCAATATGACCTTGCTCCAGTACGTATTGCTTAACTATACCAGAAATGGCTTGTTTTTATAAAACCCCTCTCCATCTAATAAGCTGAAAGCACTCTATAGACATTATCACATAATGATTTTGAGAAGTTGCTAGGCTACTGGTATGATGTTGTTATTTCTGTTTTCCCAAGGATTCTAAGTAACTTGCTTATGTTCACATAGAAAGATGACAGTAGAACAAGGAGAAACTCATTTGGGAGGCTTCTGAAATTCTGCCTGGAAATCTGGGCCCCAAAGCAAGTAATTTTAGAGGAGTCCATATCACAAATCCTCTCTGTATATTTAGGATAATTTTATTAGAATCGATAAGCAATGTGAAATCTGACAGTATGATGTCACAAATTAAATCTGAAATATGTCCAGCCCTTGTTTGATTCTATAAGTCTAATAATCACTATGTGCACAAAATCCAATGCACTCTAACTGGAAAGAAGAAGTTGGGAGACCATTCATGATTTCAGCCTACTTGGCTTTCAGTCCAGTTTGACAAACATGAGGCAGACACTATGGTGCACATATTTAGATGTAAAAGTGGTTCTTAGGGACTTAAAGTGAAATGGTAAAATAAGAAATGCAGATGGAGAAAAAGAGATGGAGATCTAGTATCGATAGATGTTGACATGGAGATTTAGATATATAGAAATAGAACATTGTAATAAAGAAAGTGTATCAGGTCATAAATTAGGATACTATTTGTGAAAAAGATCTGATTTGAATAAGGCTTTAAAGAATGAGTAGGTTGGAAATTGTAGTGGATGGTTGGCAAATGGAAAGAAAACAGTTTTGCATGCTTTGGTTGATCTAAATAGGCAATCATGTCTTCTCTATGTATTTTTCAGAGTTAGTAGGGACCTCAAATTTACTTTTTCATAAGCTTAAGACTATATTAACCAATTACCCTATTTAAAACTCTAAACATGCTAATTTATTTTGAAGAACAGAAGAGAAATGGGATAGAAAAGGTGGGGAAAAGGGGGTCTGTTTCAATTTCCTTTCAAACTTCTTTCAGAGAAGGATATACAAATCATAGGTCAAATATGCCTGAGTAGCTCATTTCAGATATCTGTGTGACATTTCTTTATTTCCTTGTTTAATTAAGAACACGGTAGTGGTGAGCTTTGTACTCATCATCTCACTGATGAGACATTATAATTCTGCTGAATTCTTCTAATTGCAACCAACCAGTACAGCCTTGGCTGGGGGAGTAGAATCACTAATCAAGGGTGGTTTCCGTTCATTTTTTTGTTACCTGGAAATGGGAAGGATGATGTCAGACCCATTGTATTCCAAGGATTTTAAGAGGTATACAAAATATTTCCAACTGAACTTTCAAAACTGACAAGATTTTAGGCCTGCCTCACTCAGTTTGTATATTATTTTCCAAAATAAGTATGGTTTCTCCTGAAGAACAGAAATTGATATACTCCACATCATCACCAGCCAGAGGCCAAGGTAACAGCCAGTTTCATATGCCAACATGTTAGTATAGTCTTTTCAAGCATTTCAATCAGATATCAGTACAAAAAAAAAAAAAGGATCCACAAATCATACCTCACACCATGTGAAAAAAATTAGCTCTTCAAAATGCATCTAAATGTAAAACTGAAATAGCAGAAAATATTTGTGATCTTGAGTTATGCAACAACTTTTGAGGTAAGACACACACATATAATCGATTTATAGAACAATGATGGATCATACTCACCAAAAGGAAGAACTCACGTAAATGTTGGAATCAAAGGCTGTTGCCCTGGAAACCACAGTGTCTTACTCTTCAGGGCTTGGAGAGGACAATTGAAGGACAGGAATGACAAAGCTGCTGATATTAGCTAGACTACAGGGAGGACTGGATCAGAGGGAACTACAACTTGCACATTGTTATTTTAGTCTAACATGACTGAAGAGACATGAGAGCGTTTTGAAGTGATGAAAATGTTTTCTCTCTTGGTCGTACAATGGTAGCAGTGTAGAAACTCATACACTAAAAAGGGCAATTAAATTTTTTTAAAATTTATTGGTTTTTAGTTATACAGGACAGCAGAATCCATTTTGATGTATTTACGCAACAATGGAATATATCTTATTCTAGTTTTAGGATTCCATTCATATGGATGTACATGATGGTGGGATTCATGGTGTTGTTTTCATACATGTACATGGAAAATTATGTCAGATTCATTCTGTCTATCCTTTTCCTATCCTCCACTTCCCTCTATTCCCCATTGTCTAATCTACTGAACTTCTATTCTTCCCCTCATCCCACCTCCTTATTGTGGGTAAGCTTCCATATATCAGATAAAACATTCAACCTTTGGCTTTTAGGGGCTGGTTTATTTCACTTAACATTATAGTCTCCAGATCCTTCCATTTGCTGGCAAATGTCATAAAGTCATTCTTCTTTATGGATAAGTACCCCCTAATACATACATACATACATACACACACACACACACACACACACACACCCCACATTTTCTTTATACATTCATCAGTTGAAGGGTAGCTACTGAATATAAATTATGCTTCAATAAGCATGGATTTAAAAAGTAGCAGGGGTCATCTGTTCAAGGGATATTTAAACCTTTGACTCATGATCCAGAGGTGGATGTTATTTTCACTGACCTTATTTATCCCCTAGTAATTATTTGCTTTATTCCACTATATTTAAAGTCATCTTTACTAGATTTTCAAAAGTTGAAAAATTGAATAAATTTATCCATTCCATCATAGTTTCATAAGGTATATGTGGGTTTCAAACTCATCTCTTTTTCATAGGATTCTAATAAACTTATACAATAATCTTTTAATGTGGATATCTGTAGGACAGGCCCCAGAATAAACTCAATGCTGAAATTTCTAATATTCTGGTAATTGTGAAGGTTGAAGATAATGATTGCATTATTCTGTTTGGGGTGCAGGTGTTATTCCCTCCATGAAAGAGAGTACCAGACCACATCTAGAAGGAAAGGAACTCAGCCTAGTTATGTAATGTCATCTTATCATTCTAGTAAAAATAATAGTGGTAATAATGAAGAAAAGTAAATTTCAGGTCTTAATTTGTAGAAAAATAGGCAGTTTTGTATAGGCTTGTTCTCTATAATTATACTTCATGAGCTAATATTTTAATGATTCCTCCTGGATAATAATTAGCCATCCAGCCTCTTGTCATATGAAAATTACAGTCACTGTCCAAAGCTTACCAGACACTGTTTTCTCCTCTTTTCCCCCCAGTAACTGAGCTATTAATAATCTTCTTTTGCAAAATGTTCCAGCCAGTCTAAAGTTTCACCTAGTACAGAATTTCCCTAAGTTTTATCAAATGTGCTTTGACTGCCAAGAGAAGAATGAAGTAAAATTGCTGAAGACACTGCCTGGTCTTTCATGTAGGTACATGTGTTATGTTTTAAATATGGCGTCTACAGAAAGCTCATGTGTAATTCAATGCAAGAACGTTTGGGGGAAAAATCATTGGGTTATAGCCTTAGACTCATCAGTGAATTAATCTTTGATGGGATTAACTGAAGTGGTAGAGTGTGGCTAGAGGATGTGGGAATTAGGGCATGGGTATGGCTTTGGGGTATATATTTGTATCTGGTGAGCAGAGTCTCTCTCTCTCTCTGCTTCTTGATCACCATGATGTGAGCTGCTTCCCTCTGCCACACACTCTGCCATGATGTTCAGCCTCATCTGGAACCTTCTATGGATTAAGACCTCTGAAACTTTGAGCTCTCAAATAAACTCTTCTTCTCCTACAATTGTGCTGGTTGGGTTTTTAAGCCACAGTAGCAAAAAAGCTGACTAAAATAATGCTCTAGTATATAGTATACTAATAATAGTCTGTGAGTTCAATCATAAAGATCTAGCTAATTGTATTTTAGTAAATACACTACATATTTTTATAAACAACCTGGAATATAGATCCATCCTCTAATGGATTTTTTTTAAAATGTAAAAAAAAAATGAAATGAGGGAAAGAAAGATTTTTGAGCTGACTGTGGCTCACCCCAACATTGAGCTTTTCTGACAGATTTTGCAATTTAAAGTAGGACATTTCCCCATGATTTGAATGTTATTAGAATGTTGGAAGCATGCTAAGGCTTATTGAAATGTCAGGTGGTGATGGAGTTGTGCTCTGTCCTTGAATCAGGGCTGCTGCTTTGGGAACAATAGTGCTTCCTCCTTCAATGTCTAGAGAAGTCAACTAAAGGACAGAAAAGAGAAAACAGCTAGTATTAGAAGATGACTGAGTCAAAGGAAATCAAAATTGCAAATTATTAAAAACTGTTGTTTTCTTCTTCCTCTGACACCTCCATGCCCCTGTTCTCTCCAATGACTGCTTAAATAGAATAGCATGAACATGAGTCTCAGTACTACTACTGACTGGTCCTTAGTGGAAGTCATTAAGTATTCCAAGCTTGTTTACTTTCTTTCAAAATGATAGTATTAAATTAAATTATTTCTTTGGGTCAAATGGGCGTAAAACCATGTTTTGTTGAGATGGGGGAAGGAACTCATCTGATGTTAATTTAATATATGCTAAGGCTAAATATATATTAATGAAAGAATTAAAATTCTATCATAAAAGAATATCCCCATCATGTAATCCATGATATGTAAATTCTCGTTACCTTCCAGCTACATTATAATTACTCTTTGCGTAGTATTTTTACACTCAACAGATTGAATTTCACATCCATAAATGTCTTTAGGAATTCCACCTCTAGCCTCAACACAATAAAGAGACAACTACTTCTAAAGAAACATTGGATTAGATAAAGGGGAAAGAAGGAAGGGAAGGGAGATAGGAATTGGAAAGATGGTGGAATGAGTTGGACGTAACTTTCCTATGTTCCTGTATGAATACACCATTAGTGGAACTCCACATCATGTACAACCACAAGAATAGGAAGTTATACTCCATGTATGCATAATATGTCAAAATACACTCTACTGTCATGTGTATATAAAAAGATCAAATAGAAAACATTATGGGTTAGAAAGTAGAGGAAGTCAGTGGAAAACGAATACATTCCACTTACTATTGGCCAGGCTCTTTAACATAGTGCATCTGCATAGCACAACAGTTAGTTTATATAATTAGTCCAGAATAGGTACAGGTTCTGCTTCCCTCAGCAATTCACATTTTCCAAAATAAACCGTGAGACAGCCAGGTAGCCATTATTTTCTACATCTTTCAAATGAGGAATAGACTTAGCTTAAATCAGAGGTGTTAAAACAAGAAATAAAAAACTTTACTTGTAACCTAAAAGAATATTATTCAATCTCCTCATTATGCAGAGAAGAAAAAACACCAAGCACTAGAGCAATGAAGGAATTTTTCCAAGGAAGGTTGGTGAATTGACGAGACTCTGTATCTTTTCACTCCTAGGCCAGTGGTCCTTGTGAACTCTGGTAACACCACTGACCAGGTCTTCTTTGATCTTGAGGAAGTTAATTTGAAATGGGAAACAGTAATTCACAGTTACCTCTTGGGAACATCACCAGGACAACAGAAGCTTGTAGAGGAAGATACATTTAAAAAGAGAAGGTGTAAATCAATTGAATTGAGACAGACTGGTTTGTAGGTCACATGATTTTAGTTTTCTGTAGAAATCTTCCAACACTTAGTATTTCTAAATAATCCTTAGTACTGTCAGATTTTTTTTGTTTAATTAATAAGCCTTTATTCAACAGGAAGATAACAAATTCCAAATTCCTGGCTCCAGAAGTCTTTTTGAAATAAATGTGGATTTGGTATAAATTTTGAGCCCATGGAAAATTTGGGCTCCATCTTTTTTTCTTCTTTATAACCACATCCAGGCCTGGGATGAATAAGGAGAAGAGTAAGTTTATTTTCCTCCTCCTCAATAATCTTCACTGAGAGCTTTGTGTACCTTATGAATTTTCATCACTGAAAGGTGCTGTGGTGCAGTTCTATGATTAAGATTGATAGCTGGAAATCTTTCCAGCTGTCTTGAATGTCTCTGAGGTTAATCTGTGGTTCATCAGATGCAGTTAAAACGGACAGTCTCCAACTAGAGCTTCATTACTTCTCATCAGACTTCTAGGGATCTTCCATGAAGGGACTATCAAGAACCAGGTTAGAAATCTCTTTACTTCAATCTAGGATGAGCCTCACTCTTCACCCTCTACCAGTGTATTTATTTCTGACCTGCAAATATGAGCCTGGATTTAGTCCTCCTATAGTTTCAGTGATTTGAACAAGGATACATGGCCATGCATTCAGGGAAATCCTACCCACTGAAGAGCTCCTTCTTTAGCAGGTTTGTCTGAAATTTCAAGTTAAATAAGAATTGAATTCCTTGGGAAAACTCTGAAGCAGGAATGAATATTCGTATCTCTTGGGAGCGCCTACAGATTTAATGATTTGGAATTTGTACATAAAACCATGCTTAATGCCATCAAGAGTAAGTGAGACGGGGGTATGGAGTCAGGGTATAAATTCATTTAAACATTAAACATGTTGAAAAGAAGCAGAGTTCTGAGGAAGATGAGCTAAAGGAGTTGTGTAGCATTATTTAAACTGTGTTTGGTCATGCTCCTGCTCAAATCTTAAAGCTTTTATCATTTCAATCTGTTATGGACTGAATGAGTGTTCCCCAGTAAAATTCATGTGTTGAAACCCTAACCCTCCAGGTCAAAATAGATGTCTATCTTGCCAAAAGTCAATGCATACTTTCCATGGACAGGGCACCATGTGATTTCCAGATCTTCTGCCATAAAGTTTTCTGGCAATAGCCGAATGCTGCATTGGTTGCTAGAAGGCAAACATATGTAATGGATTATGTGTTTCTGCTTGTGTCCTCATTTCTGACCAGTCTCATATTCATTGACAGCAAACCACTGCTAAACAGGCAAATAAGACTCTTGATCATTTCAATCCTTTATATGCATTGGGCTTCTCAACAAACTGTATCCAATTTCAACAACAAAAAAAGATCTTATCAAGAAAATATGCATATTTACTAAAGATAACTCTGAGACAGAAGATTTTCTGTGGTAACAGGAAGCAGAGCATGTGTTCACGCAAGAATCGATATATTCTACCCACATGAGAGCCCTCAAGATGTAATTTTCTCAGATGTCTATGGAAGCAGATATTCACTTGATTGAGATTCTGTGCCTATTTTATGCATAAACGTTTTTCACATCTACTTATATCTTAACATGTTTATATGAGCACTAGCATCTTGTATATCTTGAAACCTAAGTCCCAGAGGGATCTGCCATGGTGATCTCACATGGTGGGTCACCAGGATCCATTGATGCAGTAAATCAGTCCATGTTTGCACACTACTGGTGAATGGAGCAGAGGGACTGTTTTAATCTGAATTTGAATCAGTCATGCTGATGGGGATGAAGGGTGTTTTCTCTCTTTAATCTTTGATTTCAATCTACTAGTTGTGATTTATTGCAGTGTTTTCAAAATTATGGCTAAACTCGACTTTTCAGAAGTTTTGATGGTTTTATAAGAGTTTACATATATTATTTTAAAATTATATTTGAAAATGTTGAGCCACACAGATATGACATATTTTTAACATGAGAAACTCTAACTTGTCAATAATACAAAGTATTAGTAGATTCTGTGCATGTTCATACTTAAGTCTTAGAATAAATGTTTATATAAATAAGTCTTAGGGAAATAAATGTATATTGTTGAAGCTGCCCAGTTATGACAGCTCATGACAGTAGCACCAAAACAATACATATATGTGAAATTTCTGTGAAAATATCAGATTAGGGAAATTTTAGTGCTTTGTGTAAATTCATGTCTATATCTGTTTACATATTAGTATACATGGAAGCCCATGTTTATATTGCACAGACACCAATAAATTAAATGCTAAGAAATGCTTACATACATCTTCTCAGTGTAGGCCCTGGCTTCTGAATAATCATCAATTGTGAAATAACAGGTGAATATATAGTAGGTTACATCTACTAAATATTATAGATATATACTATATTATAGATACTTATAGTGCTTTTTGTTTGACTTTTACCTTCACCATGTTCAACTCAATTACATGATTTATATAACTCTTAAATTTTAAATTTAGAATAAAAAGTATTGAATATTTTGAAGTTCCAAGGTAAGCTATTACGTTTTCCACACTTGTGATACTTTTCTGTTTGAATTGCATTTTTCTTATTCCTGTGACCAAAGTGTATAGATATGTATGGAATGTGGATACTACTATGAGAGTATTGGTCACATCTTGATTTCAAAGTTCTGTGTTTGTCAGGGTGTGTCACTATTCTCATTGATCAATGCTTAAAAATGTAAAGTTTGCAAATTTTAAACTTATAACCTTATACAAATTAAATTAACTCTTTTAGTTTACATATTGGCACTTGGAGTAAGACTTCATTTGAAATAGGAATTGTGCTAGTACAAATCTGGAAATTGCTGATTCATGAGGTTACTGGTTTGTACAAATCCATTTTTTAGTCTTGGTGGAATTACACATAGAATTCATATGTTGAAACTTCTAATTGACAACTTTCTTCAGTTCCTACAGTAAAATACTGGGGATCAGAATGATATCCAGCTTGCAGTCATGTAGAACCAAGATAAATGCATACATATAACGGTGCCAGAGAAATTCTGATGATGGAGATGAGGGAGAAATTTAGTAGACACTGTTTTCAAATTTACTATCAAAACACAATGTGCTGGGATGTGAGTGACATCTGTAATAGGAGACACAGACAAAACGGAGAAGCTAATAATCTGAAAATGTTTACTCTATAAATCTTAATGATATTTTTTTCAGATTTATTTCCCAGTGGTGTTCCTTAGAAGGACATAAAGCTAATTTCATTCTCGTAACATACCAGCAGATGGGTTGGATATATTAGGCTGCAATTAAACAGTTGCTCCATATAATTCACAAATGCCTGATCATAAAGAATATATTTGATATGAGGTCTGTTTCTGTCAGTCCATGTATCGAATACTTGTCCCTTATATTTTCCAGTGCATGTTCCTAGAAGGAACTCTTGTGTCATTATCATTGAGATGTCTGGGTCAAAAAGTACAAAAGGCATACACAAAAATCACACCAAAATAGTAAAACAGGACACAGTGTCCCGTCGGAGTCCTACATGGTTCCCTTCTGAGTCACTAGCAGACTGCTAGGTCCTTGCAGTCTGATATTCCTCAGTAGTAGGCTT